TGATTCAAACAAAATCTTTTGAGTTCGAAAAGTTGATTCTTAACCATTCTCAAATTATGTAAAAAGTTGTAATTAAAAAAAAATTGATTCTTAAATCTGTAAGAACCATGATAATTGTTAGAAAAAATATTAAGCATTATAATGGTATATAAAAAGTCACAAGATTTCATTCTTAACTATTCTTATGATCGCCTACATCAAAGTGGTTATGGCCAACTAAGTTCTATCTTTGATGTTCTTTTTTAATAAATTTACAGTTCAAGCTATATATTCGTAGAGAATAATGTATGTCCATCCTTTTTGTGTAGTTGAATTTCCTTTGTATATATATACCCATTCTACAAGAATTTAGTCACTTTATGTAATTATGTTTGTATTCTCAAAAATATGGAAATTCAATGTCCTAAGCGTTTATCTGGTTTTTGTCAAGAACCATTAATATATTGAAAAGTTTGTTTTCTTGGTAGTTGTCAGTTTCTAGCAAAATATTCTCAAAGAATATTATATGTTATTCTATTTCATTTTAGTAATCTGACTTATATATATATATATATATATATATATATATATATATATATATATATATATATATATTTGTAGTGTTTTATTTTATTCAAGAGGATAATAGTAATACTTCAAGAGGGTTGTATGATGCATTTCACGAGAAACAAGAATGTAGGTAGTTTTGGTTGTTTAAAGATGATCATGAACAGTGATGAAGAATGTAGGGTTTTTGTATTTCAGTTTGCCTTTTTGATACTTAGATTCTTAAAGAATGTAGTATATAATATATTTTTTTTAATCATCAAGAAGATTGTATATTATAAAAAAATAAAGTATATATTACAAACATATTCTTAAAGAATATAGTATAGATGGTTGTATATATTCTTCAAAATATTGTATACATTATTGTTTTATGTTATAGAAATGGTATATATTCTTGATTATAGTGCACTATTTTTTCTATGATATCACATTATATACTCATGTATTCTTTAAGAATGTTTCTTTTTTAATGCAAATTGTTACCATTGAGAATATTTGCAGTAATAATATTTAGCAACGTTTAGTTCTCAAAAAATCTCTTATGATTTCGTATTCTTTACGAATGATCTTGTATTCTTCATCTTTATTTATTGGAAGAATCTCAGATTCTTCCGTATGATTTGTATACTATAAGTTCGTAGATGTGTAGATAATTAGAGTTGATTTTGATAATTAAATATCAATTTTGAATTAAAATAAATGGGTTCCCCATATTTCTATCAACTTCCTTATTGAGAATTAATTAAAAGGACAATTATGAATTTATAATTACTATTTATAATTTTCTTTTATTAAAAAGACATCTTTATATGTATTGTGATCCATTGTAATTATTGTATACCATCTAATCTTAGCCATATACAAATCTAATCTAATGGTCCAAAAATTGTCATACATTCACACAATATATACCATTCACATTTAATCCTAACCCTATAATATATATATATATATATATATATATATATATATATATATATATATGGGGAAAGGGAATATAAATTACAGTCCCACCTAAGCTTAAGTACTAAACCTCTAAAATATGTCGTTTTAACATGCTAAATATGCCCGGTTTGGTTTCACTTGGCAAATATATCATCCTCCATAACATTTCTTTCTTTCATTATTGTTTTACCATCTTTGTTTTCTTCCCTCAATTGTCGTTTATTACTTCACCCAAGTGAACATTACTAAACCCTAAACCTAAACCTAAACCCTAAATTTAAACCTTAAACCCTAAACCTAAACCTTAATCCCTAAATCTAATCCCTAAACCCTAAACCTTAAACCCTAACCCTAAACCCTAAACCCTAAACCCTAAACCTTAAACTTAAACCCTAAACCCTAAATCTAAACCCTAAACCCTAAGCCCTAAACTGAAACCCCAAACCCTAAACCCTATTGTGTCGATCTTGAATTTACATCTTGAAGTATTAACCATGAATCCATTAACTGTAATATTTATATAGTAAAACAATGTATTTTCAAGAGGTCTAGTACATAAGCTTAGGTGGGGTTGTAATGTATATTCCCTTTTCCATTAATATATTATATATATATATTATATATATATATTATATATATATATATATATATATATATATATATATATATATATATAAAGTTTCTTATCTTTCCTACCAAATTTTGCATTCTTATATGATTCGTGATACTTATATATATATATAATATATATATATATATATAATATATATATATATATTATATATATATATATAATTTGTATTTATACTTTATATATATACAAAATTACACAAATGGTGATTAAGGTGAGGTTTATTTTAAATTGTAAATTTGGTATAAAGGTGCAATAGTATTTTTATAAAAATCTAAGAGCTAGAAAATTAGATTTAACGGTAGAAGAACGATTCATTAAATTTTGCAAACCACATGGACCAATGATGTAACATTGTCCACGAATATACTCAAAGTGAGATATTTTTTAAACCATAGGGTCCAATTATGAAATTTCGTCTATTTTTTATGAATATTTCTTGTAATTAAAAAACTGTATTTAAGAATTTTTTTTTTTATTTTTGTACAAGGATTTTAAAAATAATAGACACACCTACTGACACTAACCTCCAAAAGAACTAGTTTTTATTTTCTAAAAAATTTCCAACAATATTCATATTCTATACCAATTATTATTATTATTATTATTATTATTATTATTATTATTATTATTATTATTAATATTATTTTGTAGGTAAAATATGAAAGTGTTTGAAAGATTTTCATTTATGGTGGTATAGACACCATCATTGTGAAAAAAAGGACGATAATTTCATTTGTTCCTATTTATAAATGTAGCATTACACTTCACAAATTATACTGAGAAAAACAGATCCAATGGAACCAAAATTCGCAACCAACAAAGGCTTATTGGAAACTCATGTGTTATACAAGGTTGCTTCACAACTTCTTTATTATTTTTGCTTCAAATCTTCAAAACTACCCAACTTATATGATTTACATGCAGTATATTATGGAGAATAACGTGTACCCTCGCGAACCCAAACCATTGAAGGAGCTTCGGGCTCTCACCACTACACACCCATGGTAAAAACATCACGTTTTTTGAGATATGAACATTATTTTGTGCAAATTAGATTACATGATTTATTTATTAATTTGTAGGGCTGTGATGGGCACGGCACCCGATGCTGGCCCGTTGATTGAGATCTTGTTGAAGGTCATTGGCGCGAAAAAGACCATAGAGATTGGGGTTTTTACAGGTTACTCGTTGTTACTAACTGCTCTTGCGATTCCTGAAGATGGCAAGGTTTGTCATTATGTTACAGTTTGAGTTTAAGGATAAACAAACTTGTAATTATGCATGCTAGTTTACAAAGCATTGAGTTTTGAGCAGATTGTAGCTATAGATGTGGATCGGGAAGCCTATGAGATTGGTCTACCGGTTATACAAAAGGCCGGGGTGGAGCATAAGATCAACTTTATTGAATCCGAGGGTCTACCAGCTCTTGATAAACTCTTGGAGGATGTAAGTTTAAATATTTTGGTCCAAATTGTGCATTGAAACGTGGACTAGGTTTTGCCTTCATAAGGTTCACGATTTAATCACTAATCCAAAGCAAAACGATAAATGATTCTTGACCAAATTATATATCAATAGTGTTTAATTTTTTATTTTCTCCTGAAGCATGGTTATTACAAACACACAAAATTGACTGCTTACGTAAGCGATCAGAATGAGTACGTTCAATTATAGTGAGAACTTTTTTGTATAATTAATCAGGAATGGAACAGAATTTTAAAATAAGGGATCCTACATTATAATATTTGAAATCAAAAAATTAATACATAGTTACATACTATTAAGAAGTTAAGGTATGTGGTGTTTATACTACCTACTATGATTGAAATTATTTGGGTCAAAAGTCGAACAATAAATCAAGTAATCGTGTTCGTAAATATCTGGATGCGAAAATTCCGATATCCGATATTAAATTATCTGAAAATTTGGATATTTGATTTTTCGGATTTGGATAAAAAATAGTCATTTTAGAAATTTTCGGATATCAATTATTTTTATTTTTATTATTATTTTTTTAATAAACATTTTCTTAATTATTTTATGAAAATGGAAATTAATAATTCATTAGTCAATACCTACGGTATATTTGCTTCATCAATGAAAGTATGAAACAACAAAAAATACTTATAGGGTGTATTTGTGTAATGTCGGTAGCTGTTTTTTTTTTTTTTGTCTATCCCACCGAAACAACTAGATTTAGTGGTCTCAACACAATATAATAAATGATGATGCTTTGATTGATCCATCCACATATGGTTATTGTTTTCTAACGTGTAGAATTTTATTTCTAAATTGTTTAAGTTATTAAAAAATGGGAGCTTGGTTCTGTTTTTCTAACAAACTAAGAATTAAAAAAATGAATACCACAAATTAATTAGATATACTTATAACTAACTTGTAATGATGATGAACGTAAGAAATTAACAAGCTACAAAAAACTAATATATCTAGATAACACAACAGTAAAATCATGAAATAATTTGTATTATGAATATTACAAATAATTACATTGTAAATAATAAAAAAAACTAAATATAAAATATTTCGGTGTACTGTATTCTATGTGTTCGTTTCGCAAGTTAAGAGGTGATCTAGTTTTACATATAAAAAGATTTGGCGATGAATAATATTTGTTATATAAGCATTAAATTGAGGGTATGTAATATCATTATTTAGCATATAATATACTTTTTTTGGTATTATAATTTAATCAGATAACATTTTAAATAAGATGGAAATGGGGATAAAGGGATTTATTTTATATGCATTATAATGGGTTTATGGACTGGATTTCTGACTGATTATTATTAAGCTGACCATTTAAGAACATTTGAAGAGTTTTATTATTATGTTTCTAGATTTTCTACATATAATATTTCTCAGAATTCATCTTATTGTTAATCTTAATTGAATTATGAACATTTTTTTTTTTAATTTTTTCCTACTTAATTTAGTTTATTAAAAATAGTATTTCATGTAAGAAGTATTAATTTTTAACGATTATATAATATTTTCAATGTTTTTTGTTTTAATATTTATAACTTAATATAAAGTGTTGTCATAATTTATATGTTTTAAGTAAGACAAAATTGCAAAAATGGTCCCTGTGGTTGGCAAAATTCTGCAGTTTTGGTCCAAAAAAGTTTGGTGGTGCATGAATGGTCCAATTTTGGATATTTTTAGTGTTTTTGGTCCCTATACACTTAAAATGACTATTATGCCCTTTAGATTTGTATTTTCTATTTTTTTTAATGTTTTTAAATAATTAAAGATACAAAAAGTCTCTCTCTCTCTCTCTCTCTCTCTCTCTCTCTCTCTCTCTCTCAAGAATACCCACCAGATGCCACCCTCTCAAGAACTCCCAACATATCCCACCATCGTTCACCACCAAGATCCATCTGCTACCAACGACGTTCACCACCACCATTTGTCTGCCATCATCGCCATTTACCACCACCATCCGCCTGCAACCGTCGTTGTTCTCCACCATTCGCTTAAGAACACACCCAAAATCTTTCTTTATCTCTCTCCTGCCACTATCTACATTCCCCAACACCATTCGCCGCCAACCACCTCCATCTCCCCCACCCCCACCTCTCCTTCCTTAACCTGATAAGCTTTCACCAGCAACCACCAAACCACCCCCAGATGTTGCCGGAAAAATCAAACCAAAAGCTTGGTCAAGCTCTGCTAACTTCTCACCATCCACAAAGACCCGAAAAATCAGAAAATGATGGATTTAAAGAAGAAGGTGAGTGTTGAATGTGGCTTGATGTTGATTTTCTTATCGAATATTCAATGTGGAAGAAGGTGGATTAAAGGGAACATATGAGGTCGATGGTGTCGGCGCATCCAACAGCCTCCCAAATTAGCCAACAATCACCACCATAAACACTCCTCCACCCCTTTCTTGATCATACGAAAATCACCACCAATCACCTCCAAAATTAGCCACCGATCACCACCATAAATTTGACTTGACGTCTCTATTTAGAACAAAGAAAAAGAAATGGGAGGTAGGTGTCGATCAATTGTGAAAAACTAGAGACGTGGGGTGAACCAAGGTGATATAGGGCAAGAAAAAACCCAACCTCTCCGATCACCTTCTTTGTCTTCAAATTTTGAGATAACTTCCAAACCCCGACCCTTCATGTTCGTCTCCTTCTTCTTTAGAAAAAAAACTGTGGAGATTTGGGGTTTTTGTTACAGGTGTTCAATGTAACGGTGGGACGATGGTCGTTGAAGAAACAGATGTGAAGGGTGGTTATTGGTGGTGCGAAGGAGAAGCATGGGGCGATGAAGCCTGCAATATTGATCCGGTAGAGAACACCTTCAAGAACGAGTTGGGTTTCTTTTTTATCGGGAGGATCAGAGAAAAAGAGAGAGAGAGAGAGAAAGAGAGAGAGAGAGAGAGAGAGAGAGTGTGTGTGTGTGTGTGTGTGTGTGTGTGTGAGTGGTGGGTTTATTTTATTTTTGTTTTTCATTTTATTATAAGAATAAGAAAATAAATAAAAGAAATTAAAATATAATTATTTAAGGGGCATATTAGTCATTTTAGGTGGGATGTGGACCAAAAACACAAGAAAATACAACCATAGGGACCAAAACCACACAATGTATCTAAAATTGGACCAGTGGTGCACCAACATTTTGTTTTGGACCAAAAGCACATAAATTTGCCAACCACAGGGACCATTTTTGCAATTTTGTCTTTAAGTAAAGACCCGGTATAGTTGTCTTTAAGTACTAATTTCTACTATAATTTTTTATTTTATTAAAATTGTCCGCATTATATTATGACGTGAATTAGAAAACGCAAATTTAAATGAGTTTATAGAAAATTTTAAACAGATGATCAATAAATTGGTTAACTTTGAAAAATAAAAATGGTATTGAAAAATGTAATTAACGATTAGTGAAATATAAAATTAATGGTTAAAGTTAATGTAAATGGAATCTTTCAAGTTTCACTAGTTTTAAGTCCTATCAAAACTCAACTTTTATGGATGATTTATGGTTAATTTTCAGTTATCGGCCAACAAGGGTTAAATGGTTAAAGTTAATGTAAATAAATATATGAACATGATTACAAAAACTATATTACTCAAAGATCATTATAATTATTTGAACAAATCGATCCAGTAGGTTAAACGAATTTTAGTCGGTTAATTGACCCATTTGACTTGTTATCATTATAGTAATTAATTTTATCTGTTCGACTCCTTTTCAATAAAGCACAATCCAAATTGACCAATTACTTTTAAATTACCGAGTTCATGAATTGAAATTGTGACATCTACAAAACCTTCTATTTTAGCCTCTTCGGACTTGTATTCCCGATTCAAACCACGTTGTCCCCCCTTCAGCCAAAGAGTTTCTTTAATTAATTAGATTCACTTGATAAAGGTAATGATTTTGTATTACACAACTAATCAACGATCTTTCTCCTTGTAGCCTGAAAACCAAGGTAGCTTCGACTACGTTTTTGTTGATGCAGACAAAGGAAACTACATCAACTACCATGAGCTAATATTGAAATTGTTGAAGGTCAATGGGATTGTTGTATATGACAACACACTCTGGTTTGGAACAGTTGCAAAACCCGAGGATGCAGTTCCAGAAGGATATAGAAGGGGGAGAACTGCCATTGTAGAGTTTAACAAAGCACTCGCAGCTGACCCTCGTGTCGACATCTCTATGATTCCATTAGGTGATGGCCTCACCATATGCAGACGTCTCTAGCTATACTAGGATTTGAGACATCGGTTTCTTATCTCCTTTATCTATAAATTTCGTATGTCATGATGACTATTGTTCATCTTTTAAATAACTAGTTTTAATCGTGGTATGTGAAGTCTTTGTTGAAGTACTTGTATGAAAAATAAAAAAAAGCAGACGAATTAAAATAAACAAAATACCTAGCTTTTTGTTGTCTCATCTTAACTATTGCTTAAAGCTTGATGTAGTTTTAATTCACTATTAATCCTTCAATCCAAGAAACAAAGTACCAAACAAGATCATAAGACCATATGGTGAGGGGCAAACGATTTCCAATTGAGCTAAAAATTTACAAGAGTCCTACCAACTCGTTGATCTTCGATCTCAGAAAATATAAACTGATGTGGACATGTTTTGATATGACTTTTGGCCTCAAGAACAGAAGAGCAGGAGGCTGTCCAGCAGCCTATCTTGGCAGCCCAAAATGAAATTAAAAAACCATCATCATATTTTATTTGGGCAGGAAAGGAAAGATACGAATGAGCACAAATGTGAGTCAGCAGCCCATTACAAATTAATTTTCCCATTTTTCTTGTGTGGGGTAGGATAGAAATGCACCAAGTAGAAGAAATAAATGTGCATCACATTTCATTTAAGCCAACACGAACTAATGGACGATATGGCTAGAGCTGGCCAACACGAGCTAAGGGACGATACGGCTAAAGTTGGGAATGAGTCGATTTGGGTTCAATCCATTTATTAATTGGGTTGAAGATTTCAATCTAACTCAACTTGTTTATTTAAATAGGTTGATATTTTCAATCGAACTTAATTTTTCAGATAAATGGATTGTCACCGGGTTGATATGTTTATGCATTTATTAACCTAACCTATTAAATAAATGGATTAAATTTGAGTTTACCCATTTACAATAAAGTAAGTAAATAAAACTTTATTCCATTTAAATTAGTTCCAAACTTAAATAAAATTTCAAAATATGTCAAAAACACAATCACAATTCACAAATACAAATAAATGTTCATATAACATTAAAAATATTTAATTCAAAGTGATTTTAGAGAGTGGCTACTGTTCTCGGTGCCAAAAAATGATAGGAATTATGATTGCATTTTTTTTAAAACATGAATAATAACACAACATTATAATTTATAAAGTAATACTTAGATTAATACATTGTAATATTTAAATAATTATTAAATTAAATATATATTAAAGTTAAATAGTTAGTGAGTTGAAAACAGGTTGATAACTTTTACCTTACCCAACTTATTTAATTAAATGTGTTAGACGAGTTGACCCATTTAATTTAAATGTGTTGAAAATCTCAACTCAACATGCTAATATTAGGTTGGATTGCTGGGTTAAGTCGATTTTTGCCAGCTCTAGATACGACACATTTTTTTTTTGTTTTTATCATTCTTTGCTTACTATTATTTTGCGAACTTAAACAATATTATCATCGCTATTTATATCATGATTTTATTGTCTCGTAATTAGTTATTTTCTTAAGACTAGATTAGGTTAATTTTTACTTTGATTTGCGATGGAGTTTTTGGAGCAACAAAAAGTGACGATTTTAAGAGGTTATGGTTATCTTCATTTGACATGTAATTTTCTATCATTTTTTATTATTATTATTATGAATAGCTAGTTTTTATTTCCAATATTGGGTTAACTTATAGAACTATTAATATTAGGAGTAATTTTGTGTGAGTTTTGATGATATTCTATGAAAGTATTTTCGAGTAAAACATCTATTTATATTCATATGTCTTGAATCATGAGTTTAGATATGTGAATGTTTAATAATTTGGTTAATTTCTTGATTACGTTATAGATCTTCCAATTAACAAGGAACAAATGGTTTTTGTGTTTGTTTTCTTTCCACACAATCATGAAAATATTTTCTCCAACATGTTAGTGAAAACATTTTAAATCCTCTTGGATTTGGTGACTTTTAAATATTAATGCTAGTTAATTTTCATTGATTACATGCTGCATGGAAATTGTAACTTTAACTAAGAAAATATGTTATGTGCTTCTTTAACCATTGTATTAACTAATAAAAGTGTAGGTAATATAAAACTTCTTAGATTGCTATAGCCAAATTAGGATCCATCAAAACTCATTGCACCACAAAATTATTATAATTAGTCAACTAATTGATCTTGTGATTTATCCCGATATTCGAACATTTTGTTTTGTAGATTTTATACTTCTGCATTTTAGTCATTTTTGTAAATTAGTTTTCTTTCACATTTAACATTTTGAAAACCCCATATAATTTTATATTTTTATTTTATAGAAACCAAATGCATAAATTTGATACGAACCAATCCCTAAGGATTTGATCCCTATTACCGCTACTATAATTCATTTTGTATTGCGTCATATTTTGGTTTTTTATTTGGTGGTTTCGACGGCCACCAACGACCTTAAGGAGGAGTTGACTAAAAATGATACCATCCTCGATGAAGGGAACTCGAATATTGAGGGTAGCGGTGTTGGTGATGACTTTCTAAAGTTGTTAGAAGAAGTACAAAAAGAAGTATATCTTTTTTGTACTTCATTTTCGTCTCTCAACTTTATTGCAAAGATGTTGCATATCAAGGTGAACAACAAATGAACTAATAGTTCTTTTGATCAATTGCTTTAGTTGTTGTAATCAACATTTTTGAAAGAAAAAAAAGTTCCCCCTTCACATTATAAAATCAAAAAGAATCTTATAAGATTAGTTTGGGCCATGAATCGATACATGTGTGCAAAAATGATTGTTCTCTTGTAACATTCATAAAAATCATAATAAATTTAAACTTTTAAAAATCAACCCAAATTCATAAAATATTTACAAAATAGTTTTCAAAACATTTTCCAACATCAGAGTCTCCGAAAATCATAAGTCATAAACAAGAGGATGTGTACGGTCACGTCTTTGTCTTTCCGTAGGCATCCGAAGTACCTGAAACATAACCCAAAAAACTATAAGCCAACGCTTTGTGAGTTCCGCCAAGTACCACCACATAAACATAATAAAAAACAACATGCATACAGAGCCTTCAGCCTGAATGGAACGCCGCACCTGTCTACAAACTATCTGGAACGCTCACAGAACCTTTAGCATGACTAGAATGCCTTGTCGGGCTTTCAACCTATCAGGACCGTTCTTTGGGCCTTCGGCCTGACTGGTACGCCTCTCAGGTCTGCAGTCTATACTCTTGACCTTCAATCTACACCGGTCTGCCTCAACCCAAGCACACACAACATGTCGAAATATACATACTAGATAAACATACATGTAATTAGTCAACAAACAATCAGGTGAATCTTACAGATCACCAAGCATAGCAACATCCTATATACAGTATACCGATCTAACAAATTACTACAATACTATAACATACTATCACATAACAGGATATCTAATCCAATGGGTTGGCCTTGGTGCCTTCGACCTGTAAGTACAGTGAGGAAAACTCACCCCACAAACTTGACAAAAGCTGATGAGGGATCGACTCCGAATCTTAACTCTAACCGTTCCATATTCCAACTAAATGATCAATCTTAATCAAAATCCCAAAATTCCCAAAATACCCTTAAGTCAAACATGGTCAAAATCAACGTCAAACTGGTCGGCATATTGCTGACCTGAAATTCCATAACTCTTCTACCGACTCTGAGCGATCTTTAGTCTTTGCCAGATCTGCTTGATAAGCTCCGTGTTCTGAAGGACTACTTTGGTCCTTCCCATAACTGTGTGATCAACCTCTCCCCTACAAATTGGGGTGCGACATCTCCGACCATACAAGAGCTTAAATGGTGGAACACCAATGATGTAGTGATAACTGTTGACATAGGAGAACTCCGCAAGAGGTGGGTAGGAATCTCAACTCCCACCAAAATCAATAACACAGGCCCGCAACATTTACTTACGGGTCAGTATAGTCCATTCACTTTGGCCATCAGTCTGTGGATGAGATGCAGTGTTGAAATATAACCTAGTGCTCAGTTCCTTATGGAACTTCTGCCAACAACGGGAAGTGAACCAAACATCACGGTCGGAAACAATAGACACCGGAACCCTATCATAAGCAACGATCTCCTAGACATACACATCAACCAAATTTTCGGCCGAAGAGCTCTCCTGGATGGCCATAAAGTAGGCACTCTTGGTCAATCGATCCAGGATGACCCATATAGCTGATGGGTTTTATACAAACAATCCTATGTGTGCATGCAACCCTAATTTGGATCTATGTTTTCACTATTAGATACATAACATTATGAACATATGAATAAAACCTTAATGTAGGTTGCTATTTTCAAAATTCATATATAAGGTTAGATCACATACCTCTTTTTGTTATATAGCATCACAAACCTTTTCCGTCTTCAGAAACTTGGTGATAAAATCCATGGTGATCTTTTCCCATTTCCACATGGGAACCTCCAGAGGTTGCAACTTTCTATGTGGCCTCTGATGCTCGACCCTGGCCATCCTGCAGTTCAAGCACCTCTCGACATACCAGACTATCTCCCTCTTCATACACGGCTACTAGTAACACAATCTTAAATCATGATACATATTGTTGGCTCACGGGTGTATAAAGAAGCGAGACTTATTAGTGACGAACTTGTCAACCTCACCCCTGATCCTTTCCTGTTTCTAGTTCTCATTTTGAACTCTCTCTACCTGTTCCTCTCCGATTAATCCCAAAAGCAGAGAATCAATGGATATCCTCACACACACTTTCCCGACCGAAGACCCAGCCGACTTGCGGCTCAACGCATCCTCTACCCCATTCACTTTACCCGGATAGTAAAGGATCTTGCAGTCATAATCCTTGACCACGTCCATCCACACGTGCTGCCTCATGTTCGGGTTCAGCTGATCTAAAATATGTCTCAAACTCTTGCAATGCGTGCAGACAATACAACGAACCCCATAAAAATAATTTATCCAAATCTTTAAGGAAAAAACCATTGCCCCCAACTCTAGATCACGCGTGGGATATCGGATCTCATGCGACTTCAACTATAGTGAAGCATAATAGATCACTCGTCCTCTCTACATAAGGACCACCCCAAACTGGTGACGGATGCATCATAGAATACCAAAAAAATCCTTGACTTCCTTCGGGAGGGTCAATACTAGGGCCTCACATAACCTCTGACGAAAAGTCTCAA